CCCCGTCCACTCGGCGGGGTCGCAGCTGCCTCTGGAAGGCACCGAGAGGTACCAAATGGCGCAAATGGTCAAAATCAAGGTTTTGTAACGCGAGCTACTAGCCAATTTCTAATCCTGTGTTAGTGCCAGTGCGCGCCAGTCCCGTGCCCAGTGTTGTGCGAGGGAGTTTTGTGTTGTAAGATTCTAATCCTACTCATCACCAGCTCATCACAACTCGCCAGGAACACCCCCACACTATAGGGTCATTGTGTAGCCCTGCTTAGAAGGCGGAAAAGGTTTACCGTCTGGGGGGGCGACCCCCCCATCTTTGTTTACCGATGCGTCCTAGAATGCAAAAACGCATTCTAGGACGCACTTTTCATCTCAAAGATACCATGTGTCTCGGGTACACAGGGCATTCTAGGATGCGATGGCTGTCCTGGAGATAGCCGCGCCGTGTCTTTTGTTACGCGTTCCATCTTAGACGCCACAAGCATCTATAGATGCACAGCTGTTCTGAGATGGCACTTGCATACTAGATCACATTTTACTATACTTGGACAGGGAAGCGTCTCAGGAGACACCGTGTGTCGGGTGCACCGGGCACCGAGGGGGGAGCAGGGAGCCAGGGAGCACGAAAAGGCGGTGTGATCTCTCGGCACCCCCTGGGGGCCCTGCCTTGAGTGCTCGTGTGAGGTCTCTCCTCGCGGCCTGCCCCTCCTGGAGAACCAGGTTCTCAGCACCGCGCATGCATCTGCTCGCGCCACGAGCTCTGGGCGCAAAGACCAAAGTTGCATGCACTGCTTACGACGATCCGACGGCGACGCCGCCTCCCCCCCCCACCAACCAGTTTGCGCGGCAGGTAGCGGGGCCAGTTCGAGGCTGAGGGCGTGGGCGTGCGCCTAGACACGGAAGACAGCGTACTTCCGAGAGTCGGCCAGCCGCGCGGTTTTTCTTGTTTGACTTGGCGATTTGTGGGACCGGGCATCCCGGCTCCTCGCTCGGTGAGCTGTCGCCCACCAGCGCGCGGCGACCGCGCGCACGCACCGTGCCCGCCGGCTCGCCGCCCTCCTCACCACCCGTCGGCGCTGTCCGCAGGCATGTGAGTCAGAACGGCGACCGCGCAGCGCGCACGGGTGTCTTGCTCGCCACCACCCTCTCGCCCCCGCTCCGTGACCGCCGCCGCCCGCGCCACCGCCGCCGCCAACACCGCCTCGCGCCTCGCGCCTCGCTCTCGCCGCCCCCGCCGCCCGCCCTCGACCTCGCGACGGCGTCCTTCTGGGGATCTGCGGGTGGCTTGCCCGCCTCGCCGCCGCCCCCACAGCGTGACCGCTTCCGCCGCCCCCACAGCGTGACCGCTTCCGCTCGATCGGTGAGCCGTCGCCCACCACGCGCGCTCTCACGGCGACCGCGGGCCGCTCATCGCCTCCGCCACGTCGCAGGTGTTTGATCTGGGCAGGAAGCGGCGCTGGTGACGGCAACCGGCAGCCACGTGCACGGAGTGCTAAGCGAGGTGCCTGTGTCCAAGTCTGAGTAGCCCGTGGCCGTGAGTGGCGTCAGGGGCAGTGTTCTGTGACTGTGTCCTGTGCGTGCTGTTCAGTGTGAGTCGGTGCAGCGGTGGGCCTGCTGCCGCTGCCACACGTGAGAGCCGCTGTCCGTGCCCCAGCACGTTGCGCGGAGAGGCTATAGGGCGCCCACCCACGAGTGCTCGGGTGGGCGCGCCGCGGCTGTGCGAGTAGTAGCGCAGCAGCCGCGGCGCACAGCCGGGGGCACGGCCCGCCGCGCAGCGCTCGCCACACCGCCTTTTCGTTTTCTTTTTTGTTTTTATACGTGCGTGTATTTCTTGAGATCCACACGCTGTTCAAAATATGCGCGCGTCTTCTGAGACACGCGCTGTTCACAGTATGCACGGCGCGTCTTTTGAGACAGCAACGCCAATCGGAGATGCCGCGAGCAATTCGGGATGCGCGGAGCAACTAATATAGACTCGCGCATCTTAGGATGCTCGAGCATACCGAGGACAGCGAGCGTCTAAGTAGGAGGCCTACTAGACGCACTCTAATCCAGAGACGCATTCGGTAAACAAAGATGGGGGGGTCGCCCCCCCAGACGTACTGCAAGGTCCGTATGGCTCACCGAGCGTGTAGTCGGCCCCCACAATGCCTAAATAAAACCCCAGCCGCAGCCCAGTATTGCATCATTTGTACTTGTCCTGCGGCTGCACCTCAGAGAGCTGGACCAACACTGGCGGCACGCCAGAGCACCCACCACCGCCGCCCGCACCTGCTCACGCCACACCACTCTCACCTCTCGCCCTCCTCCGTAGCGCCTCCCTCGGAGGAACATCACGTCTACGAACCCTACCACCCTCCAGCTCCGACGCCCGCGCCCGCAGCCGCCTGCGCCCCCTCCCCCCAAGGGTCCTCCTCGAGAAACCGCTTGCCGCGAGACGAGTAGTCCGCCGCCAGCGCCTCCACCTCCGCCTCGGTCAGGTCGCCCTCCGAGACGTTGAGCAGCGCCTCGCCGCCGCCTGCGCCGCCGCCGGCACGCTCCCGGGTAACCTCGGGGACTCTCGGGTAATCTCGGGTAATCTCGGGTAATCTCGGGTAATCTCGGGTAATCTCGGGTAATCTCGGGGACTCTCAGGGACTCTCGGGTAATCTCGGGCCTTCACCAGCACGCTCCCGCAGCGCCCGCGTGCGCGCAAGCCGGCCGTAGTGGGCGACGAGCGCCTGCGGGAAAGCTCCGAGAAGGCTCCGAGAAGGCTCCGATGAAGTTCCGAGAAGGCTCCGTAGTGGGCGACGAGCGCCTGCAGGAAGGCTCCGAGAAGGCTCCGAGAAGGCTCCGAGAAGGCTCCGAGAGGGCGGCTGCCGGCCGTGGCGAGCGGCGGCGCCGCGGCGACAGACACGTTGAGCGACTCGGCTATATCTCGGCTATATCTCGGGTGATCTCGGCTATATCTCGCCGCGGCGACAGACACGTTGAGCGACTCGGCTATATCTCGGCTATATCTCGGGTGATCTCGGCTATATCTCGCCGCGGCGACAGACACGTTGAGCGACTCGGTGAGGCCAAAGAGAGGGATGGTCGCGGCGCCTGCACCCAAGGGGGGGGGGGGGGGCAGGTGGGCGGTACGCCGTCCTCGCCCGGCGCTGCGACTCGCAACGCTCTAGGTGGACGAAAGGCGTGTGTGGCCCCTGCTAGGAGGTGTGTCACACTGACATGCTAGGAGGTGTGTGAGGTGTGTCACACTGACATGCTAGGAGGAATCATCTGTCTAGCGTCCACCCATACCGCGTTGGTGTCCAGTCCGAGCCTGGCTGTTCTTCACCTTTCTACCTACCTACCTACCTACTAGGAGGTGTGTGTGTGCGTGTGGGCCCGTCCTCCGAGCCAGGAGGTGTGTGGCAACGAGTGACTGATGTGTGGCGGCACCGTCGCAGAAGCGCGCCACCTCGGCTATCTCTCGGCTATCTCTCGGGTGATCTCGGGTGATCTCGGGTGATCTCGGGTGATCTCGGCACCGTCGCAGAGGAGCGCCATCTCGGCGGAGATGCCGAGCCGCTCCGAGCCGAGCACGAGCGCGACCCTCTCCCCAAAGTCGACGTCCTAGGAGTGAGACTGGAGCGGTTGGTGAGCTGCCTAGGGCGGGTCTCTGTACTCCCACTAAAAGGCGCCTCCAGCTTTGCCGTCGCCAGCTGCGCCAACGCCTCGTTGCGCTCGCCGACGATGGCGGCGTCCGCGGCGGCGCGCGCGTCGTGCCACGAGTCGCTGCGGTCGCCCTCGGGCGGAGGGACCGTCGCCACGATCCGGAAGCCCGCGCCGCGGAGCGCCTCGGCGCACGCCGCTGCCGTCTCGTGCCGGTGGACACAGAGCCACTTCTCGCCGCCGTTGCCGACGCCGCGCCGCATGCGCCGGTTGCCGCCGTGCTTGGCGGCGGCGGCGACCTTCTGCGCGACCCGTGGCTGCTGCGAAGGGCGGAGCCCGACGATCTCGTGGACGTGCAGCAGGCCGAACGCCTCGCACGAGCGGAGCACAGCCGCGCGGTTGCCGCTGTCCTCGAGTCGGTCGAGCACGAGTCGCAGGCCCGCCATGCGACCGGCGGCGACGCGGCGGAGGCGGCGGGCTCTCGCGCTGACGTCCGGCTCGGCTGGGGCCGGGGCGGAGGGCGGCGTAGGACCGGACATATATCTTTGTGTAAAACGATGAGCCTGCTCATCCCGGAGTGGTTCGATCCCACACGCGAACCCGAGATACCGCAGCACGCCGCGGAAAAAGTTCGCACCCCTCGACCCCTCGACCCCTCCACCCTCCGAGGGTCGAGGGGTCGAGGCCCCCTCGACCCCTCCGGAGGGGGCCTCCGAGGGGTCGAGGCCCCCCTCGACCCCTCGACCCCCTCGACCCCTCGGCCTGTTTCCCGGCCATTCCGCTCCACGTCGCTCACGAAAACGCCGGGGGTTTCACGGTTGGAGCGAGGTTTACTGATAGTAGTGGGCGGGCGAAATTCGGCCTCGTCGCCCGCCCGCCCATCTGGTTGCAGTCGTGGGCTGCAGCTCTCCTCTCGCCTGTAGCTCTTGGCCGCCACTGCTGAGCTTGATGGGGAGTCGACGCACGACCGCCTGGAGGCGGAGTGGCGGCGGCCTGATGGTTGCACGTATGCTCTGGCCGGCGACGCTGTGCCTTCTGGGCCTCACCACGCTTACAGCCGCAATGCGGGATGGGAAAGCGCCTGCAACAGGTGACGCAGGAGACTGGAGTGATGCCTTTGAGGATAGTGAGTGCGACGATGCTGAGGACGATTTTACCTACTGGACGTGGCTCGCACAGAGAGAGGCCATTGACGGCTAGGGAACGTCAGCCAACTACGTACCGCCTACCGCGAGCGACTCTAGTAGTGGTATCAATCAGCGCGAATTCGCGGCCAAATGCTTCGATTGGCATGGCACACGCGAGCAAGAACAGCGCCTCGCTGTCTTTTTTGGTATCTCGATCTCTGTGGTCAAGCGGCTAAAGCGGAACTGGGGCTTGACCTTTATCCAGGCCGGAGGCGAGCGCCCAACACTGCCCTCAGACGACGAGCTCCAGGCACTCTGGGATCAAGACCCCTGTCTGACGGTGGAGGCAATCGCAAACAGATATGGTGTGTGCCCACGAACCATACGCAATCACCTAGCAGCTCTTGGATTCCAACGGACACGCCCTGGTCTGCCCGACGACGTTGTAGTGGAGGGGCCCCTGGCAGAGCTGCCAACTCAGCCGCTAAGCCATCCGTGTGTATGGACTCCTCCTCCGCCCTACGCCTCTCGCTCCTCGCGTCGTCCATCCTGAGATTCGCCGCGCCGTATCAGCTCCGGGCCGCGCCCGCCTGCGTGCCTGCTGCACGCGCCTCTCCCGCGCTCGGCTTCTTCGACGACCTCAAGAAGGGGTTTGAGGCGGCCGGCGCGAGCAACGCGCCGCCAGCGGAGGAGCCGGAGGGACAGGCGGGCGCTCCGCCGGCGGCTCCCGTGCCGACCTTTCTCGGGGCGCTCAAGAGCGGCCTCGCCGGCCTCGTCAAGGAGCAGACGGAAGAGGAGCGGCTCGCCGAGCGCATTCGGTCGGGCGAGGGCGTCGTGTGGTCGTGCGACTACTCGCGCGCGTGGCGCGCCGTCAAGGGCATGCCACAGGACGAGCTCTCCCTCGTGGAGAGCGTCGAGCTCGCCCGCGAGCTCTCGGCCCCGATTCCGAACGAGGTTGAGGAGGTTTTGGCGGCGAGAGGCGGCGGCTCCCGCTCCTCGCGCGCCGGAGGCTCTCCTCCGCGTATGGCCCTGCGGTGGCGCGACGAGGAGGAGGCCGTCCCCGCCGCCTTCAGCCGCCGCGCTGCGCTCTTCCTCGCGGCTGGCTCGGCGGCAGGGGCGACGCGGCCGCCGCTCGCGGCGGCGGAAGACGCCGCACCCTCCGAGCGACGCGCGCTCCTCGAGGCGATTGCAGCTGGCGCCGCTCCCCCTCTCTCCCTCGGTGTGTGTGTACTCACCGCCGACGGCGAGGGTAGCCGAGATCACCCGACGGTAGGCGCCGACGACCGCGCCGTGCTGGCCACACTCGACGCGCTGCTGCCGCTCGACCCTGCCGGCACAACCACCTGCCCGCCCACCTCCCTAAACACCCTCGCTAACCCCCGCTACACCCCAACACCCTCTTCGCAACCCCCTGTTGACCCTCTCCCCGACCACTCCCCCCTACCCAGCCCACCCCCCAAACATACCCCATCCCCTCGGTACGGCTCAAAACATACCAGGCGGGCGCGCCGCGCGCTCGGACGCGCTCGGCGGGACGTGGCGGCTGCTGTGGAGCTACAAGGCCGACAAGTTCTCGCCGCTGCTCGGGCTGCCGCGGCCGGTGCGCGGGGGTCGTGTGCACACTCCGAGTGCTTGCTGTCTTCTTGGACACACCAGTCGACTCTGGCGTGGTGGCTGCAAGGCGGCTCCCCTGTACCTGTACCTGTACCTGTGCTTGTGCCCGTGTGCCTGTGTGCCTGTGCGTCCGTGGAGGGAGGAGTCGCTCGGCCTTGACACTCTTTCATGCCCACTCCACCCCTCGTCTGGACCCAAGTGCTGCGCCCTCGTCGTCGCCAAGCGCGCCACCACTTGCGCGGCTCCTTCCTCATCGCCCTCCCTGGCTCCGTCCTTGGCGCCGAGCTCTTCCCCCTCCGCGGCGCCGACATAGCCTACCCTCCATTCACAGGTGCGGCCTGCGTCGCTGCAGCTCTTGGGACCGGCGGCGACGGGCACGGTCGGCGAGGGACGCGTCGCGAACCTGCTGCTCTTCCCGTTTGGTGATCTCCCGTGACCACCCCCCATGACCTCCCCTGATCTCCCGTGATCTCCCATGATCTCCCGTGAGGCGTGCGGCTGCTGCTCTCCTCGGGAGTGCTGCCCGCCGCCGACGGCCCACCCTCGACCCTCGAGATCATGCCGCCCTTCCGGCTCGAGCTCGACGCGGCGGGCCGGCGGCGGCTGCTCGTCGAGGCGGGCTCGGACGCCGACTTTCGCGCGCTCAACGCGCGCGACGCGGAGGCGCAGGCCGCGCCGCGCAACCGCTACGCACAGAGCTATCTGGAGACGAGCGGGCGGGCGGGCGACCTGCGAGTGTCCACCGTCGTCTCGGGCGACCCCGTCATCGTCGGTTCCGTCTTTGTCCACGAGCGCGTGATCTGAGAGACACCGCGAGGACGCTCGAACGTCAGTACGTACGTGACACAGTAGACATTAAGGGAGAATAAATAAATAAAAACGGACACCTCTCTACTGTGAGATGGGTAAAAAGGAACAGGTCCCCGCCCTTGCGATCTTTGTGCAGGGTTCTTTGTGTGGGTGTGGTCGGCGACTAGCCGGGGTCGTCCTCCCCCGGTGGGGGACTAGCACTAGCCGTCTTCCACATGGTCCCTCGGGTCCCTGCTGCTCCTAATCTCTTCGTACATCCTCCTGCTGATCTCCGCAAGGTCCTGCTACCTCCCTCGTCTCGCCCTGCGCGTCTGCATGCTCCGCCTCACCGTCTTCTGCCCTGCGTCGTCCGTGGCGACGGGTCCTCCATAGTCGGTCGAGGTCGCCGCCCTCCTCGTGCCTCTTCCCAACGTTCCCTCGGCGGCCGATGCCGTCTGCTCCGGCTCCCCAGTCCCCGGGTCCGCCCTGCTCTCGTCTGCGCTAGTTTCTGCTTCGTCCTCACCGGCGTCTCTCCGCTTCCTTCTCCCTTAAGGGAGAGGTTGTCAGTCCCGCTATAGATATAAGAGCCACTAACGTAATTATTGGCCACCTTATGCAAACGGGACCCCCGGAGGGGCAGGTTCGTCGCCTAGCGCGATGTGGCCGGAGATGAAGTGTGCGCGAGGCGAGATGTGACGGACAGGGGTGGTGCTCGCTGGCAGTCTCTCACTACCGCACAGCGCACAGGCACACTGTCAGAAACGAAGAGAAGTTGCGGTCACAGACCAAGGAGCTCGCGTTCTGAGCAGCGCTCTGCGAGCGCTGTGAAGAGGGCACTCGCGTCGGCGCGGGCGATGAGCTTGCTGCGGCACAAGAGCTGAGGCGCTCCGACTGCGACAACCTGAGGAGGAGCGCGCAGCAGGCTGCTAAACGCGACATCACAAAGCGGCCGAGCGGATGGCCGACGAGGCAAAACACGCAGAACGAGCTGAGTGTGAGTGGCGTATCGGCGAGATGCGGGCCAAGATGCAGGCTGAGCTGCGCGAACAGCTCGACGCGCTGCAGATTTCGATGGAGGCAGAGGCGACGCGCGCTGATGCCGCAGAGGCGTGACCGGAGAGGTCAAGGCTGCACAACAAGATGGAGGGGATTATGCACACACGTGAGGGGTTGATAATCGCACTCGCAGAGGCCCAGCGCAAGCGCGAATATAGTGATATACGTAGGCGCAATCACTATAGAGTATAGGACTATAGAGGCGCAGCGCAAGCGCGAATGTCAGTCCCGCTATGGATATATGAGCCACTAACGCAATGTTGGCCACCTTATGCACATCCATGCCCACGGTTCGCCAGACAGCGCAGAGGCTAGGCGACCGGGGAACGGGAAGGACTAGCTCTCAACCGTTACCAAGCGGCAACCAGAACCACAGCGTCACCACGCAGCCGTTGGCGCGCAGAACGAGTCTGCGGCCCTCGGTTGGGACGAGTGCGCGACGCGGAATAGCCCCGCTCAATATAGCTCGAGCGCTGCCGGCGGGGTTGGTTGGGGAGAAGCAACCGGCACGGGAGGGGTTGCCCCCGCCCGGAGACCATGGTCCATGCCGACGGCTAAGTAAGGCCGAAATCGTTATTGTTCACACCTCTTGCAGGTGTGAACACAAAGGAAAGCTGTATCTACTCAGGTGCTCTGTTTCTTGTCTTACCTGTCACCGACACAGTCGCCGACGCAGCCGTCCACTCACTGGCGATGGGGAGTGTATAAAGGACTTCGATGATTGGAAGTCGATGACAGAGAGGACCTGCGTGTGATGCCTTTGCGGATTGCATGTCACGAGATTCAACCTGTTGCGATCGATACAGCTCGTTGCAACACGGAAAAAATAACATAGTTCGATAAATTTGAACCGAAGTTCGCACGTCCGCACGCACACTCCTGCACTACTGCACTACTGGCTGTAGCCTGGCGTGTGTGCCCCGTTTGTGCCACCTCCTGTGCCCCCGAGTGAATTTCAGCTCCCCTCGCGGCGCCTCGCGAAGGTGAGGTGTGCGGCCGCACACCAACATGGAGCGCAAGGAGACGCTGCAGACGGGCATTTCATCCTGGGAGCGGGGATTCTGCCCCAACGTGAGCAACAACGTGCTCGCCGAGTACGTTCGCATCCCATCCCGCGGCGCATGCGTGCTCCTCTGCCTGCTGCACCCTCAGTGCCGCTTTGTGGGATTTGGGACGAACCTCGAGATGCCCGGCGGCAGGCACCAATGCAGGGTCAGCTCGTCTTGCCCGCTGCCCCTCCATCACATGCCCCACAAGCACACTGAGCGCCAATACACCGTCGACCTTCGTCGCAAGAGCCGCCTCTGCGCAGAGGCAGAGGCTGCAGTGGACGCCGAGACCCACGCGCTGCTGGAGCAGAGGGACCCAGACCTGGCCTCCGAGGCGGTGCGACGGTTTACGAAGCAGGCTAGTATCGGGCTGTGCGAGGTGACGGCCCGGGACGCCGGTCGCATGACCCGCCAGAACCCGTCCACGTGCGAGCGCGCCTCTGCCGGAATCTTCACGTTGACGACTAGCGAGGCGAGCTCGTGGGGACGGGCCACCCGCGCCTGCTTGAACCGCTGCGCAACCTGCCGGAAGTGCAACTTCATTACCGTTGCGCCATCACACGGGCACTGCGCATGGCACCAACGGTGCTCGCGTGCAAGCGTTCGCGTCAATCCCTGGCGAAACGAGAGTCAGGGCTCGGCCTGTGGCTTTCGGTCGGGGCCATCCGTGCCGGGCCCGGTGCGCGCCGCAGCCCTCGTTCTCTTTGGCAAGATTGGCAGCGACAGTCCTATCGGCTCGCGCTCGAGCCGGGCGGGCGCGGACGAGAAGGCCTCCGAGCACATCATCCGCATGTCCACAAGACTGTGGGTGGCTCATCTGATGGAGCCGAATCCAGACGTGCGCTTCGACGTCTTTGTGCACACCTGGAGCCCGGAGGCGGCGCCTCTGGTGACCAAGCTGTGGGGCCTGCTCCTCGTCGGCCAGCAGCACGAGCCCACGCGCTTCATGGACACATCCTCGCCGCTCCTCGCCTTCCACTGCGCCGTGCCGTACGCGATCAACTGCGAGCGGACGGCCTCACAGCTCCTCACAATGTCAAAGGCGCTTGCCCTCAAGCGCGAGCACGAGCTGGCCTCCGGGGAGACGTACGGCTTTGTCGTCGTCGCGCGCTTTGATTCAAGCCTCACAGCCCCATACGCGGTCCCTGCTGCCCTGTGGAAGAGCAAGAATGACGAGGTGTGGTTCATACCCAACTGCACGCCCGGGTGCAAAGTCAGCGAGGGCTCCTCCTTTGTGGTCCCCGATGGCTGTCTAGTCACTGGGCGTCTCTGCATCGAGAGGGTAGGGGCGATGAAGAGGGGAACCGGGCGCTTCGGCCAGCGGCTCAGCAACGATTTCGTGTTTGCCGGGAGCAGCCCAGCGGTGGATTTGATGGGCGACGCTCACCGCCACTTTGCCGACTATACACGGGACATGATGAGGGACGACGACGAGTACATCGCGACCCACTACATCTGGCCCTGGCACGCCATCCGGTTCAAGCTTCGCCTGCGCTGGGAGCTACGGGTCGCACTCAAGCTCACGCGCGAGATTGACGCGGCGTGGATGAACGCTTCATTCGGCGACGCATCGCCAACGGACAGCATGAGCCGCAGGGTAGAGGAACGTGGCCGGCCTGAACGCTCCTGCTCGGTCCCGGTGCCCAGCGGGCATGGGCTGGAGCTGACGGGACGCGTCGATGCTTCGCTTGTGCGGGCCGAGTTCCGGCACCAATGCCCGCACGAGCAGGCGCTCATCTGCGGCAGCCTGCACAACTACACCCAAGCGCACGGGGGCTGCGAGGTGTAGGTGCGGTGAGACACTTGTTTAGAGAGCGATACGCGTTTGCGTACAGTAAATTTTTGAGCATACTTAAAACCAAACTCAAAGCCTTCTCTTGTGTGAATCGTTGTATGTATCTAAGGTGAAGAACAGCCAGACTCGGACTGGACACCCACGCGGTATGGTTGTATGCACCATTGGGGTAGTTAACGTGCCGCCACCGCCAGCGAGGTGGTCTTCCATGGAATTCCCGACACCGCGACACGTCCTGACTCTGCCGTCGGTGCCAAAACTGCCAGCTGGCGGCGCGTGCCTTGCATTCTAACATCATCGCAACTCTGTCTGAGACGCGGTTTGTTATCTGTGTCTCGGGCGAGCACTTATAGAGAGCTACAGCTGAGCTACAGAGGAGGGTTAAGGTAAGGTAAGGTAAGGTAAACTTCTCCACACACACGAGGTGGTGGGGCAAGGGGGGGCAACCCTCGCGTCTCCACGTCTAACGACAGGAGCCCCACGGCATTCAAAGTGCAGGGTTATGTTGGTTCTGTTATAAGTTCTCCTGTTGTGTTTATCAAAAAAATGAAAATCTGTCTCAGGCCATGCCCAAGGGTCAGCCATGTGGGGCCTTTTGGCCAATTTTCCTTCTTTTACTTCCTCTGCTTAGATACAATCACATTCTTTTAGCCGTCGAGTAATCTCGCCCGCGCGCCGCGGCCGCGCGCCGCCACGCGACCGACCGACTACTACCTCCGATCACAGGCCCGGGCGACCCCCGCCTATGGCATCTAGCCGTGTGTGCTGGCGTCCGGGTCCCCTCGGGTTTTCAGAGAGACGTAGAGGGTAGAGTAGAGAACAAAACGAGTACGTACGGCTCTACGTACCACCCAGCGCACCCTCGACCTTCCCTCAAGTGCGGCGCCACAACACACTCGCGTACGCTCGCTCATTTCTCTCTCTTGAAGGCTGTCACCGATGAGATAGCTCCGTACTCTCCACCACGTCCACCCCACGCGAAGCTGCTCGCTGCTCCCCCCGGAGGGGCCTCAAAGCGCCTGCACGCCCGCCTCGCCCTGCTGCGGCCTGCTGCCACCGCCGCCCGCCGACGCCGCGCCCGTGGCGACGGCGCGAGCGGGCGCAGACTGCATCGCCGCTGTCTGCTCGAGGCCAATCTCATCCATCACCTGCGCGAGGGCACGGGCGCGCGCTCTCTCTCGCGCGCGCAGAGGATACGGACGGTGCGAAGCAGACCTGTGCGAGAATGTCGTCGTCCTCGTCGCCCCACTCGTCGTCCAGCGCCTCCATCGCGTCGTCGACCATCTCCTCCTTCATGCCCATCATCGCGCTCTGCTTCTCCAGCTCCTGCATCGTCGCGGCGACGGCGGCAGGGTTTACCTGCGCGTTCACCTTGCCCATGATGCTCGCCGCAGACGCCATCGAGCCCGCCACCGCAGCCTGCGAGCCCATCGAGCGCACCTGGCTAGCGGTCGCGCTCATCTGCCCGCTCATCTTGAGGAGCCGCGCCTGCTGCTCTCGATTCCTGACAAGCTGCTTGGCGAGCACCTTTGCGTTCTGCTGCCCGCCCGGCCGCCTGGCCGCCTCCTTGATCATCGCCGTCAGCTTGGTCTCCTCGCGCCGCATCTGGTTCAGCTCGCGATCGACGGAGCGGCCCTCCTTTTTGATGGCGTTGGACGCCTCCTTGGCCTGCTGCTTTTGCCGCTCCGCCGACGGCTTGCCGCCGAACATTGTGCCAGGCTGGGGTTCGGACTTTTTGCGGGGTATGGTATGGTAGACAACCCACCTCGAGACCATACCCCCCGCCTGCTGACAGACCCAGCCTCCCGGAGACCGGGGATGGGCGGTCAGGAGCATAGCCCCCCGCCCTTTGGGCCGTGACGCTACCATACCATACCCCGCAAAAAGTTGGAACCCGGGCAGCGGCCCGAAAAAGAATTTGGAAATTCTGACCCGGGAGCACCCGCTTATTATTAACAACGAACACCGCATGCTCGAGCCCCCGGCGAGGGCTTGTGCTGTGAATAGCAGGCGTGGTCTCTACTCGCCAGGGGCGGCGGTGCGCCCAGAGCGCCCGAAAAAGATTTTTTCTAGCCAGACCGGGACCATCCCGCATCCGTTTGTATCATTAACAACGAACACAGAGGTGCCTAGATCTATGGGCGAGGCGTTGCTTGGTTCTTCTGTCTTTTCGGGGAGCATTCCGGTGCGGATCGACCAATAAATAAATAAAACGGAGCATGTGGACGGACGGAAAAACACCCCCCTTTTATTGGCGCTGGCGCGTGTGAGTGAGAGAGGTGGTCAGGCCGTGCCCGTCACTGCTCACATAAACGCACAACCCCGGGCCCCGAAATTGCACAGTGGCAGTCAGACATGCAACACGGGGTTCCAGGGAAGGCAAGCAAGTCACTGCTCACACAAAACGCCGAATCTTTTCTTCTATCTCACAGCACAGCTCGCCCTCCGGAGTCCGGACGCGCAGCTCCCCGCGACAGCCCACAGTCCTCCGTCTCCTGATCGAACCCCCTCCCCCCCCAGTCCTCGTACTCGACCACGCCTTCGTTCGTTAGATGTAGTTCCACCTCACCCTCCGCACACACACACCACCACCTCGTGTGAGTGAGTATTCTTGATACGAAACCACGACGACACACACCAGTCGACTCGCATCGGTTGCCTCCATGAACGGCGGAGCTATTCTCGCGTCCACACCACACCTGGCTCCAACGTGGACACGCCCATAGCTGGGGACACTACTAGCGTCACGCATGGCTCAGAAGTTTTATCTCTGGGCCCCGAAAGGCATCTCTAGCAGCGTCGTTACGCATGCGCCCTCCCCTCCTGGGCGCATGCGCCTCACGTCTCGCCAGAGCATAAGCCCTTGGCGTGTGACGAGACGAGTTCTTCGCCATCGCAGCGAGCAGCAACCCACTCGCCGCAGCAGCCAGGCATCAGATACCCGGGTACCCGCGCGAAGACTTGAGCGCAGTTCGAGGATGAACATCGGGCAGGCTCCGCAGCCTCTCCGGCCCTGTGCCGTGCTCCCCGGCCACCGGCGGCTGCACGTCTCGCGAGGTGGGGCGGCTCCCACCACCGACGGCGACGGCTGCTGGAACGCCGTTCGGTCGCACTTCTCCGCCTCCGAGCTGGGTGTCGTGGTGACGTGGTCGCTCGGCTCTCGAGAGGCGCGCGACTCGCGAGGCGCGCGCTTCTCTTCGATGGATGAGATGCGGCAGCTCTACGGCGATCGCCACGACGTCGCGCTGCTGGTGGTGGCGCGTGGCGCCTCGTGCTCTCAGCTGACGCTGTCGCTGCTGCGCTGGCTGTCCGCCGGCCGCGGGGGCTGCATCGACGGACCCAACCTGGGAGCGCGTGAGGCGGCGACGGTCCTGCGCTTCGCGGTCGAGTTTTACAACCACCTTCCCGCGGCGGTCGTCTTCACGCAGGCGCCACGCCCGCACCCGCCGCCGGCGCGGCTCGCCTTCGCCGCCACGAGCCGCTCGCCCGCCCCACAGGACGATCCCGAGGTCAAGCTGATGCAGCGGCCGGGCAACCAGCGCCACCCGTCCGATGCGCCCGTCGGCTCCCGCGGCTGGCTCCGCCTGCTCGAGACGACCTTTGACAAGCGGCGCGAGGCCGCGGCGGCCGGCGCCGTCGACGTTGCAAACGAGAGCTCGCCGTGAGAGCTCGGCCCGTGTCCGTGCACCGTCGACGTCGAGCGCGGCTTTGCGATGCGGTCGTACGGTGCCCCCCCCCCCCCCCTCCCCCCTTCCCTTCTCCCGCCTCCCTCCGCTGCTTGTGCTCAGCGAGGCGCCTGTCGCGCGGACGCAGGAGAGTACCGGCCCATGCACTGGTGGCTGCGCACCTTCCTCGCGCCGCCGTTTGGCGGCCCGGCCGCGGGCGGGCCGCCCAGGCCCTTCCCGCGCCGCATCGCGTGGCCGCGCCACGCCCAGTTCGCCGTGCCGCGCGCCGCCGTCCGGCTGCGCTCGCGCCGCTGGTGGTGCGGGCTTCTCGGCTGCGCTCGGCGCGGCTCTCCCGCCGGCGAGGCTTGCCTCACCCAGCAGGCGGGTGCGTGCTCAGGCGCCTCAACGCCGAGCTCGCCTCGCTCCCCTCCCCCCTCAAGCACATGCTGCGGCGAGACGGCCCGGAGGACCGCTCCGAAAACGGGCACGCGCGGCGAGCAAAGTGGGCCAACTTTGGGCCATACGCCGTCGACCTCGGCCCGCGGCCGCCGCCGCAGCTGCGCGCGCCCGACAACCGAGTCGGCGCCACCGGCATGCTCCTCGCGGTGGCGTGTGAGCGGCTCCCCCACACGGCCATCACAGCCCGTCGGCCCTCCCTCAGGCATGTTCCTCGCAATGGCGTACGAGCGGCTGTGGTTTCGCGCGTTTGACCCGGCCCTGCGCGAGGCGGAGCCGCCCCACCCGCAGTGTTTCGCGGCGGCCGCGCTCGCCCGGTCGCCGGTCCGCTGCTCGGGCTATGCGTGCCCCGCCACCTCCCGCCGGGCGGGGCGGCTGCCGGAGCTGCTGGCGGAACGCGGCGGCTGTGCCGCCACCGACGCCGCGCGCCTCACCGTTGCGCCGGCCAACTGGATCTTTACTGACGCCGGCGTCGGCCGCTGCCTCGCTCGCGGCTGCAATGTGTCGACCTTTGACGTGGCGGCGATGGGAACAAGGCTCTACCACGAGTGGCGGCTGGCGGAGGCGGAGGCTGTGGAGGGCGAGGGGCCGCCGTCGCTGGGTAGGGTCGCGAGCGAGGAGGAGGACGCTGAGACGCTCGAGGCACGAGGGACGCAGCCGGCCGAGGTCGGGCGGAGTACGTCGGAAGTGTGTAGCGGGCAAAAACGTCTGTGTGAGTATATCCTTTGAATCGGTCCCGCACCGGGATGTGTGGCGCCTACACGTGTAGTAGGTATTAATAGCTTTGTAGGGGAGGCCGGAGCGGGCGGAGGGGCGCGCAACCATCTTTATTGCGACAGTAAAGGGTGAGTGTGGATGTGCTGGGTTGACGGAAATCAGGGGCGGGACCGGGCCAGGGCGTACGGGGGTCGACCCATCACTAGTCAGCAAGGGGATAGGGGGTAGGGCACAAGGCATCTGCAGACGAAAAATATGTATTACTACATACCATGTTGCACATCGACCAACGCGCGCGAAACACACAGCGGAACGAGATTGGATATCCCCCGCCGGCTTCGCTGATGACTCAGCGAGACGTTTCTCTTCTCAACGAATTTCTTTTCGCGCACAACACTGGGCACGGGACTGGCGCGCACTGGCACTAACACAGGTACACCACGGGAGCCGCCTAAGCGACGTGTTAGTATTCGGCGGGCCAATGCCGCGAGGAAGACCTCCTTGCGAAGAGTCGGTCATGTCATGCGCCACAAAGCGACAGCCCGACCAGCCGCGCCAGCGCATGCCGACGCAGGATGAACGAGAGGGGTCGATGTGGAAGTCACAACGCTAGACGAGGCGGTGCGTGAAGAGACACGGCGTTCGCAAAGGCAACAACTCGCACACGAACACCGCCGACTCTGCATAACCGGGTTTCGGCTTACTACGAGCAGAGGACAGATGGCAGAGGGGCGCATTGGGGCAACGCCGACACGCGTGATGATGCTGGAGACGCTGGCGGGCATCGTGCGGCGGCGGCACCACAACGCGAACCTTGCACACGACGCGACGCCGGACGCCCGAGTCGACTCCATCTTCAAGGACGCTAGGGCGGCACTTGTCCGCCAATTTTACTACACGGCGAAGAGAGCACAGCAAACCGAGAGGGAAATACGCCTTCGCATACCCGGATGGCAGCCCTCGCCCGGGGAAGGACCAGTAGCAGAGTGGGAAAGGGAGTGGCTCCCGTCCGGCTTCTTTTCTGACGACGGCCAATGCGCGCTTCCGGAGAAGATTCAGCTTGCCCGCGACATCGCTGCAAATGATTGCACAAGCAACACGATGGCACTACTCAGCGTCGAGCCTTGCGATAGGGGCGGTGCTTGCCGTGTTAAAGTGCGGCTGATGGTGGAGGCGCCAGGAGTTATACTTCGACCCTGTCGACGGGACGGCACCACGCCCCCACAGCAGCAGCGACCACCCGACTGGACGGCGTACACTGATGGGTCGGAAGACGGAAGCAGGGCGGGATGGGCGTACGCGGTAGTCATGGGCGGGGCCTTCCGCTCCTGGCCGGTGGATTCCCACCGTCAGTTGGGTAGCGAGGATTGGTGTGACGCGATCCACGCAGTGGCGCTCAAAAGCGGCTGGAGCTCAACAGCGGCTGAAGCTCAACAGCGGCAACCTTGAACGTACGAGTTTCCGAGTGCCGGCGTGTCATGAGATACGTGTGCCGTGTCCCGACTTCATTTTAAGAACTTCATGGTTTTTCTTCTTTAGGCTCGGCCTCTTTGGGCGGCACGGCGCTCGACCAACCCGAAACCGTGTCTCCTGGCTGGCTATGGTCTCCGGCGCACCACACGCAGGCCCCTCGCCGTCGGCTTGGAGGCGGTGCAGCAGCGCTTCCAGCCGGCGCTCGACGACTACCTCGCCGGCCGTCTCGATGAGGCCGGCTTGGTGGCTGCGACCGAGTGGGAGAGGCGGTGGTACTGGTCTTTCGCGGCGTATGCGCCCATTTTCCGGATCTGCCGCACGCACGGTGTGACGATGCTGGCGCTCGACATGGACTCGGAGGACAAGGCCAAGGTGGAGCTGGGCGGCGCCCTCGAGCCGGCCAAGCGGCGCCAGTACGTGCCGGACGGCGATGGCTTCGAGCGATTCGGAAGCACGAGGGCCTTCGAGGAGTATGTGTCCTACACGCTGCGGCCGCCCTTCACGCTGATGCGAAGGGCCGGCCAGCGCATGACCGCCTCCACCGACGACGCGCGGACCATCAGCTTCCCAAACTTTCTCACGCGCCAGAGCCTGAGGGACGAAGCGATGGCGTCCGCCTCCGCCGCCTGGCTCGCCGAGCACCCCCAAGGGCTGCTATTGGGCCTGGTGGGCGTCAACCACGTCAAATTCTCGTGCGGCGTTCCCGCCCGGACTGCACGGATGCTACCCGGGGGCTTGGACGCTGTTGCCTCCGTCCTCCTTAACCCAACAGCCGCCTCCACGTTTGTAGACCCTTCAACCTCCGGCTTTGCGATCGCGGGCCGCCGTCGCAAACGAGGCGTGCTTGCGCAACGACATCGAGGTGCAAAATTATGTCCTTCAGGTGCCGTTTGCGCAACGAGGCGCTATGGCGTCGCGAGGAGTCATGGGCCGCGATTCAGTCGAGGAGGCCAGATCGGCGATGCAAGCCAGGAGGGGAAGCTCCGTGCTGGCCTTGTCAGATTACCTGATCTTCTCTAGATAGATGCCTTATTTCGAAAAAAGACGCAACGGGCGTCGAAAAGGAAATTTCGCGGGGTCGCGAAAAAGAAACTCGCCGCCGCGAAAACCCATGGGCTTTTACCCATCTCCTAGTAGATTTGTAAGTTTTATTTATTCAGGGCTGCAGCGAAAAAAAGCAAGCGAGTGCCCCTTTTAGCCTTTAAATAAACAAAGAACTAGAGGTAGACAAACGCCAAATTCCGTAATTGCAAAAACGGCAGTCACAAATTTGGACCTGCGAAAATTGGGGCGTTCCCTTAGCCGACGGCCGACCGCTCCACATGTCCGCCGCGACGCCCTCGCCGCCACCGCCACTGGCTCCCGTGGTGGTGGCTGACATGTCGCTGACCGGGTCTAGAGATTTAAGCGACTACGCGTGCTTTGAAAATACCAAGGTCGGAAACGCCTTCTTCAGCTACATTCCCGCCATCGACATCGACTGGTGTGCCCAAGTGTGCGGAGGCACCATGGGGCCATCGTGCGTGGCATTTCAGTTCTATAATGATGGCGGGTCAAGCCATAGGTGCGAACTCCAAAATGAAAGTCAATACAGCCTGCCAGGATCTCCAGACGCAACAGTGGACAGTTGTGTCTTGGCATCTCTCGTCCCCCCCAGTGCCCCCAGCCCGCCCAGTCCCCCGCCTTCGCCCGCGCCCCCCCTCCCAGCGACGTTCTGCAACGAGGAAACTGAAACGGTTGTGTTTACGAACAGCGTTGGAGGGCTCGATTATTGTATGGGCAGCACTGGCGGATATTTGAACGGCGTCAACGTAATTTGGACAATCGGCCTCTGTGACAAATTTGAACAATCCTTCGAGATTCTCCGGCCCGTGCCTGGCCGCGATGATGTCTTCAACCTTTACACCGCGGTGGACGGCGGTCCTGCGAGAGATATACACACGAAGGGCTCGTTGAGTGACGAGGAAAATGGCGATTCCAATTACCTTATCAGGTTTAACTCTGAGCCTGGTTCTTCCATATCCAAAAACTCGATGGTGGCTTACAGCGCGTACGCGCAAACCGGCAACGTCAACTCATTTTATATCCACAGCGCCAAGGACCCGGCGTATTGCTTAACGAAAGATGAGTCGATCGAATTGTCGAATGTGCGGTGGAGGTCGAGCGTGGCTTGCCTCGCTATGGAAGCGGTGTGTATGAACAAGGCGATATATTCGCCGAGCCCTACGCCCCACTGCGACTCGCCCTCTCAGCCCCCCTACGACTGTCCGTCGCCGCCGCCCTCGACCTGGCCGCCGCCCCCCTCTACCTCACGGTCGCCACCCCCCTCCGCCTCGCCGTCGCCACCCCCCTCAGCCTCGCCGTCGCCACCCCCCTCCGCCTCACAGTCGCCACCCCCCTCCGCCTCGCCCTCTCCGCCCCCCTCCGCCTCTCCGTCGCCGCCGCCCTCGCCCTTGCCGCCGCCCCCCTCTACCTCACCGTCGCCACCCCCCTCCGCCTCGCCGTCGCCACCCCCCTCAGCCTCGCCGTCGCCACCCCCCTCCGCCTCACCGTCGCCACCCCCCTCCGCCTCGCCCTCTCCGCCCCCCTCCGCCTCTCCGTCGCCGCCGCCCTCGCCCTTGCCGCCGCCCCCCTCTACCTCACCGTCGCCACCCCCCTCCGCCTCACCGTCGCCACCCCCCTCCGCCTCGCCTTCCCCCAGACCTTCCCCTCCACCCGCTCGGCCGTTGGAAATATGGGCATGCATCGATGACGGAAAGGACTTCTACCTTCGCGAGTCCGGCAGTGGAGAAGGCCTTACCATCGAGTCAGGTTTCGGCAACGGCGAGCATCTTGTCATCCGCCGGCTTCTCGGAATACCGAACGTCTACCGTACGGCTTATCGTGCGCGACAGGGCGATCCTATTCCAGGGGGGAAGTATACGCTTGAATCTGTAACGGGGACCTTTGTTCACACAGAAATATCCACCGTAGGCGGCTCGTATCTCGTATATTACAACACTGTTCCGGATGCGCAGCCGAAGAATCAAATGGAATTTGTGTCGGCCGGAGAAGCAAACGGCCTGTACAACATTGTAAATGGCCCCTACTGCATCGCACGGGATGCATACCACAACGACTACACCGGATCGGCAGATCGCGCAATATGGCTTCAAAGCTCCGCGAATGAGTGCGTCGACTTTACGGGGATCTGTGCCAGCGCTCCGGAGCCTTCGCCTCCACCCTCGCCGCGACCGCCGCCCTCGCCCTCGCCCCCGCCCTCCGCCTCGCCCTCTGCTCCCCTCCCCCCCCCTCGGGAGGGCCGAACTGAGGCGCCCGTGGGGACCCCACAATTCCCTTCCCCCCTCGGAGGGGGCCGGACGGAGGCGTACCCCGTGGGCCCCGCTCTTTCCCTCGCATAGCGGCCACTCTTCGGATCGCTGGTCGAGCGACCCGGGGGATGCCCCGCGCGCCTGACCCAGGCGCGAGAAACGAATCTGCGAGGCGAGGCCGCTCACGCGGCCCGATGGGGAGGAACGGGGCGAGCCCCCTCCAACCCACCCGCGCTAGGTCTCGGGGGACGAAGGGGTCACACCCGACGACCTCGGGAACTAGCCGGGGCAGTCGGAGAAGTGGCAACTCCGTCCGTCCGTGCACTGACGGTCGGCCGCCAGAAAACACGCCTCCGTGGCTCGGGTTACACCAATCCTCGCTACCCAACGCGGCCAAAGGATATCCACCTCGAGAGCTCGACTTGTTTCCGGCTCC